CAGAGTGGTTTGGGGTGCGGTTACAAGGGGAAAAGTAGATGCGTGGAGAAGTTGGTGAGAATTTTGAGGGGAAAACAAGGTTTTCATCGGGTTTGGAGTGTAATTTTGAGGGAAAAGTGGGTGTGTGTAGGGGTTTTGGGGGAAAACGAAGTTTCCAGAGAGGTTTGGAGTGTAATTGTAAGGGAAGGTTGGACGCATGGGGGTGTTGGATAATTTTGAGGGGAAAAAATGTAGTTTGAGGGGTTTGGGGTGCAGTTGTGAGGGAAAAGTGGGTGTGCAGAGGGGTTTGGGGGCAGTTGAGAGGGGAACGGGGGAGTTCTGGGGGAAAACCAAAATTTTCAGAGGGGTTTGGGGTGCAGTTGTGAGGGAAAAGTAGGTGCGTGGAGAAATTTGGGGGGATTTGGGGGGAAAAAAGCTTTTCAGAGGAGTTTTTGGGGTGCAGTTGTGAGGGGAAAGTAGGTGTGTGGAGGGGTTTGAGGAGAATTTTGAGGGGGAAAAAAGCTTTTCAGAGCACTTTTTGGAGCGCGGTTGTGAGGGAAAAGTAGGTGTGTGGAGGGATTTGGGGAGAGTTTTGAGGGAAAACAAGGTTTTCAGAGGAGTTTTTGGGGTGCAGTTGTGAGGGGAAAGTAGGTGTGTGGAGGGGTTTGAGGAGAATTTTGAGGGGGAAAAAAGCTTTTCAGAGCACTTTTTGGAGCGCGGTTGTGAGGGAAAAGTAGGTGTGTGGAGGGATTTGGGGAGAGTTTTGAGGGAAAACAAGGTTTTCAGAGGAGTTTTTGGGGTGCTGTTGTGAGGGAAAAGTAGGCGTGGAGGGATTAGGGGAGAATTTTGGGGGAAAACAAGGTTTTCATTGGGGTTTGGGGGTGCAGCTGTGAGGGGAAGATGGGTGCGTGGAGGGTTTTGGGGAGAGTTGTGAGGGAAAAAGGTTTTCAGCGGGGCTTGGAGCGCAGTTGCGAGGGGAGAAGCGCACGCGGAGAATTTGTTTCGGGGGCAAACGGGGCGAGCGGAGGAGTCTGGGTGTAGTTCTGAGGAGAAAACGAAGCCTGCGGGGCAAACCTCGAGGGCAAAACGGCGTTTTGATTTCTGAGGAAAGCTCGGTGGGGATGCCCGGGGCGCCCCGGGGCGCCCGGGGCGCCCCGGGGGCAAGGTGTTGGGGACTCTCGACCGGGGGG